GAGGCCATCGCTCATAGGTTGGAGGCCATAGCTATTAGGTTGGAGGCACAAGGAAGGAAGAACCCCAGCTCACATCTGTCAAACAAGGCCTAATGCTGCAGCTGTAGCCCAGAGGCGTGGTCGGACAGTCATTCAAATCCTCAGTGGGGCGTGGTGTGACATCCCGGACTTGGACACAGTCTGTTTTGACATCCCTCAGTCATGTTTTGTCCGAACTATAGCTCATTGCTTCTCGTGCTTGCACACAAATTGTGGGCAGTCACGCGGGTTGATTTGCAAAGAGCAAATCAAAGCTATGAATCTGTTCAAACTACAAAATAGAACTATTTTGTCACCTTCTTTTGGCCCGCCCTTACTTAATTAAGTAGGCACCTACTTCATTAAGTAAGGGAGAAACTTGTTCGCTAGTAGCTAGGCCGCAGGATAGTTCTTGCTCGCACCATGATTTGGTTTCAATACTGTTCAGGAAACTTAACTTTTAGAACAAGGGCATTACTACTAGTAGCTCAGAGAACTCCCAGACAGAACTCCTTCTGAGGCGGCGACGAATTGACAAGTATCCGGCGATGGCATTGCACAGGGACCAATGGCGTAGCACCCACTCAGCGACAACCTGTATTGGAAATGTCGTTGAGGTGTTTCATGTATTTCTTCGTGTTTCCAAATATTATTGTTTTCATATATGTCTCTTGTCTTTAGGCCTTTCCTTTTCCTTTTCGCATTGGTAGTATTTGAGAGGCAAGCGGCGCGCCTCTGACCGAACCACCTCTTTTCCGTGTTCCTTTTTTGTTTTGCTTTTCCTTTCTTTCTTATGTTCTCGTGGTTTTTTCCTTTTGTTCATCATTTGTCCTCTTTCCTAGATAGAATAGGCGCCAGGCTTTGACGAGGGTTTTGTGAATCGACGTACATCGGAATCAAATTTGGAGGTAATTTCTTGGATAAGTTCCGTCTAAATTTCGTTCTGGAATACATTTCTAAATTTCTAGGTGTTTAATGTTGCTAGACTCACATCCCCTTCAATTTGTGTGTCGTTGACGAAACCTGCGGACGCAGGGGCAAACATAGGCCCAAGGAGCACATGCGACAGTAAACACGGGCACGTTTGTACACAGAAAACACCTGTGTCCAATAACGAAGAAGTTTGGTTGCACTGGATGGAGGTGGAAGAATGCATTGAAAAGCATGCTAAAGCGCCCAATGCTTAGCTGCTTGATAGCAAAACAAACACGCTGGTGTCGCAGCCTGGGCTTGCAAATGCCATCAAATTGACAGCAACCATCCACAACACCCGCATAGCCTCAGAAACCACAGCACGAAAGTATAGAGGGATTCAAAATGTAAAAGGACAGGAAGCATTTGCTGCAATGAACAACAGCAAGTAATTTACCTAAATACAAAACCCCTTCATGCGTTTGAACCTAGGGCCAAAAATGCAAAATAAAATTAAAAACCTGTACAATCTGTTCGGTAAATTGTGTTGTTTTGTTCGTTTTGATTTGTTGTGTCTTTTCTTTGTACAGCGGCCATCTGCGCAACTCCATCCACCTTCTGCCAGCTTCGTGTAGCCCGGCGGCACTGGCATTGGATCCAAACCTGGAGAGTCGAGAGAGGAGAGTTGAGCGTCTCTTCCTTCCGTAAATGAGTCCATTAAAAAAATAGATGGATAATATGTAAATATATATATGCTAACCCCCCCCGTACCTACCTTTTGTGGTTTTATCAGGTGTGGGCCACATGAACGGAGAATTTAGGCTCTTAAACTCTGTGACCCCAAGTCACTGTCCCAAAGGTTGTAGTAGAAGCTTAGGCCCACTTTTAGCTCAAACTCGAACAAACGGATTGAACAAACGGCTGCAGTGAAACATACATCTATACAAGCTATGTCATGTACATGTAACTGGTGCTACATCTGATCACGCCTCCCGAGTTTAACATCTCCCAGAAGTTAAGCGAGTCAGGATTAGCACTTCGGTGAATTAGCTCGTAGCCCTTCAGTACATCTTGGTCTTGAAGAAGTACCTACTCTAGCTCAAGCCGTTCACGCTTTCAAAGTCAGCTCATGCTCACCTTCCAAGTAGTGGAAGTTCATGCCTTTCATAGCTGTAGTCATTTTCTCTTCGGTGACAGCTTTCGTTAGCACGTCGGCCAACATTCGGTCGGTGCCTTCTTTCTTGAGACGAAACTCTTTCTTTGCTGTGCGCTCTTGTACCCAATGGTATTGAGTGTCAACATGTTTAGCTCGTCCCAAACCTCGACGGTTTCCCATGGCGATGCCAGCGGAAGCGTCCATTGTCACCTCTTTGCTGGGAAACAATCCCCAGTCTCTTGCTGTTGATGCGATTCCAAGCATTTGACATGCTCCAGAAACAAGTCCGTAGTACTCGGGTTCGCCACTGCTCAGGGAGACAACTCCTTGGCCTTTGCTGTATGTTGTAAGACAGCATTTGTTGGCCATGAGCACGCCTCCTGACACACTCTTTCGTGTCCTTATGCAACCTGCATGGTCGGCGTCTGACCACATGTTGAAGGGGTTGCAGGTGCTTTGGTTTGGAAACAACTGTGCAACTCTTGGTCGATACCTGACATATCGAGCCAATCGTTTCAGCATATTCCAGTGCCTCGATGTTGGGTTCTGTAGACCTTGTGCCAATGAGCGCGTTGCAGTTTGCAGATCAGGTCGATCCTGTGCCAAATACGCGGCTCTCATAGCAATAGATCTATACATCGTTGCATCTTCGGCACTCAGCGGAACTTCTTCATGTTGGAGTTCCTCTTGACTTGGCTTGGCCAAAGGGGTCTTGACCTTGCCTGGTTGACCAGTGCCTAACCACTTAATGATCAACTCTGCATGTCTTGGATCTGGTTCCCACCAAATGCCTTCATTTGACCAGGTGATGATGCGATTCAGCACTCTGATCTGTTGGCTTGCTTTTGGTGAACCTGGTGGACCGAGAATGCCTCGTTCCACAACTTGCCATTCTTTGGCTGCTGAAGTGTGAAACCATTTGATGTCATCAAAACTTCCAACTGTCGTGAAATCGTCTCCATGCACTTCTGTTCGAAGTTCTCTGGATGCATGGTAGTAGATGCATGGGTTGGACTTGCCTTGAACAAATCCTAGCTTCTTCATGAACTCTGCAATGGTCAGCTCCCAATTCATGGGTGCGTCTCTGGTGCCGTAAAGGCTTCTGACCAATCTTCCTACCACATCTCCATCTTCTGGTTTCTTGCCTTCTGATGGAATTTCAACATAGAGTTCTCTTGTTGCTTTGGAGTAGAAATGAGCTCTCTTCACATCTAAAAATCCTAGGAAAGATTGCTTTGTCTTTCGCTTTTCGCCTTTCTCCAATGGAAGACTGTCACTGACTGCGATGGTTAGCAGTAGCTTCAAAGCTGCAAGGCTCGGCATAGCTGCGAAAAATTCGTCAAAACCTGAGCCTCTTTTGATCTCTTGCGCTACCAATCGACTTCTGTAGAGAGGATTGGTTTCATCTTGCTTGTTCACATCTACCCATCGAGTTCCAATGATTTTGGTTCCTTTTGGAACTTTGCTTCTTGGGATCTTTTCCCAAACTCCCATTGATTCGACAATGTCGATTTCATCTTTTCTGGCTTTCTCTACCTTCTCAGGTAGAAGCTCTTTTCCACTGATGTCATCGTAGTACCACCAGTCTCTTGCCTCTTCTGCCATTTCTTCTGGCAGTGGGATCTTCTCTTCACACACTGGTTTCTCTGGGTCGATGCTAGATAGCACTCTCTCTCTGTCTTCTAGGATTAGGCTTTCTAGAGCCATCTCAATGCTTTGGATGTCTCTTGTTCTCTCGGCTTCCTCTTCATGTTCGCCTTCTGCCTTTCTCTTCTTGTCTCTATCTACTCTGGCTTTTGCTGTGGGTGATCCTGCTGGTTCATGTTGTTCTTCGTGTTCTCTCTTTTCTCCATGTGGTTCAGGTTCGCGTGGTCTGCGAATACCTGATGCTGAAGCTGATGCTGTGCCTGGTGTTGGTGGCGCTGCTTCTGGTTCGTACCAAAGTTCTGTCACAATGTCCATCTTGTGTGGTAATGCTCCATTGAGTATCTCTGGTGGAAGGTCTGTTGTCATGACTCCACTCTCAATGATTGCATTGTTTGCATGGTTTCTTGTGACTCGGTGCCAGACGGTGGACCAATCAGGTCCTCCTGGCATGGTGGTTTGAAAACAGTAAGCTTCGACGTCAAGTCGTGCGAACACTCGACACGAATCGGGAACTCCCGATGGTCTTTTGCTTTCATATCCATGAAGGATTTGAGGTCTCTTGCCACTGACGGGTTGTGGCATGCCAGTGATTGCCTCTCCAACTCGGCTTTCATGTCTTGCTACTCTTGGGTTCTCTTCTTCTTCTCCTCTGATGCTCTCTTCAAGTCTGTCTCGACACCTGTTGGTGTGATGGATGCCTGTAGATCTCTTGCCAATCTGTGTGGCATCACAAGCTGGGCAACCTGCTGTATACCCAAACTTTTCCAGGTCTTTCTTGGTGATGTAAAGCCTTCTCAGCTTTCGTTTCTTGTCATCTATTGCCGGTGGTTGCACCAAAGCTTCACCACTTGGACTGGCAATGATTGGTTCCCTTGGGGCTGCAATTGCTGGTTCTTCGCGAATTGCTTGAGGATCCCAGGGAATTCCAGTGATCGATTTCAGCAACTCTGAATCATATCGATCTTCTTCTGGCTTTCTTCGAATGGATTGCACTGTGAAAACACCTGTGGAGTTTCCTACTATCTTCTCTGTGGTGGTGTCTTTCACTCCTAGAAAAATTCCTTTGGTCCATTGGGCCTCGAACTTGTGGCCTCTCTTGAGGTATTCGATGGCCTCACCAAATGGTGGAATTGCTACTTTCCATTCACGTCCACGAAGTCGTGAATACGGAGTCTTTCCGTCTTGAAGTTCGGTTGATCGGAAAAACAGATTGTAGACTGTGGATGCGTGTTCAACTAACCAAGTCAAAACAGGGGAATCGTCAGGAAGTTTCTCACCATAGTTTGACTCGATTGCGGCTCGAAGAGTTCTGGCTTGTCCTTCCAAGGTTTGAACTGCTCGTTCAATTTCTCCCTTGGATTCTTTGACTCCTTTCGCGCTCTTCTCGATGATCAGGGTTCCTTCAAACCCATTCTTTACTGCCTCAACAACGGATGTGAGAGCAGGTTCAGGATCACGTCGAATGATCAGTTTGGAGTATCCTAGTTTCTTGATGTCGTTCAAAAGTACTTTGGATCCATATGGACCTTTTGTCACACCTTTGTAGGGCAACACATGAGCAAAAAGATGCTTTGTCCATCGATCTCTGACAACAAGAATTGGTGCATGGGTCTTCTCGTCCAAAACTACATCATCAGTTCGTGAATTCATGAAACAGTAGTCTACAGTCACTACTGGGGTTGTCTCATCGGTGTGGTCTATCTTCCTGTGGGGGTTTGCCTTGGCTTTTCCCCTTACACAGGCTTCACACCAAGACCTAAAAGGGAAGTGTGATACAGCATGCTCTTCAAACTCTTTTCTCGTCGGGCGAGTGGGAGCATGGATTCGGAGCTCAGGCGGCACTTCGTCGCCTTGCTCGGCCTCTTCGGCCTGCTCCACCGGGCTTACCCATTGCGGTGCCGGACGAAAGGGTGGAATGCAAGCGGCACAGAACAGACGCCGTTGCTGAACGAGATCGGAATCTTAGTTCCGTCTCGGAGATCTGCCCACCAGATCCGTGCATCTGAATGCACCAGCCCTTGCTCATAAGGGCCCCCGCGGAGAGCAGCGGTTTTGCAACCGCCATCACCCGGAAACAGCAACGTCCATTGAGGGAGTTCTGGCCGATGCCGATGGTCACCCTGGCCTCGATCTTGCCAAGGTCCTTGACCACTTCGCCTGAGGCAGTCTTGTAGACTTTGCAGGTGCCTTCAGGCTGGATAGGCTTGTAGCCCAATGCGGTGGCCAGTTCAACAGGGATGCAGGAGGTCGCGGCTCCTGAATCCAAGGTCACCTGATGAGCCATTGGCGTCTCCATGGATGCCAGCTCCAAACTCCTGAGAGCGAGTGGATCTTCATCGCCTTCATCAGGCTCGCTTGAGGGAGTGGGATATCGTTTTCCCTTTCCCTTCTTGGCCTCACGGGCAGCATCCTGAGTGGCCACGTTGACAGCTCGGGTCAACTGCACCTTCCTCTGCTTGCCCTTTCCTTGGCCTTTCTCGGAGGCAGCCGGAGCCGAAGCGGCTCGGCTTTTGCCCGGGGATCGTGACCGGGACTTCAGCCGAAGCGTCTGCCTTGGCGCTTCGCTGGATTCCTCTGGCTTGGATCCTGGTCCACGGAATCGCTCCTGGTGCTCCTCAGTCGAGCTCTTGAACCAGGCCATGCGTTCCTCCTTGGTCTTGCCTTTCTTCTCAGGAGGTGGAGGTGTCTTGGCGACGCGCCTTTGCTTTGGCGTCTTTGGGCCAACCTCATCTTCCTCCTCCTGCTCTTCCATCATCTTCTGCATATGGGCAGTCATGTAGAAAGGTGGTCCTTTCTTGACGGTCTCAAGCTTTGGATCTTCCATCTTCAAATGCTTTGCCACATCTTCGGGCTTCAGATC